CAGTCGACCTTCGGTAAAATGCATAAGTCGACTTTCGAGAGTTCGGGTCGAGTCTAGAAACGGTAAGTAGTTGAAACCGGGTCTATGTTCCACCTCCCTGTCGGCCGGTGGAGGAACGGGAACTACGGGGGGCGGCATAGAACGGTACATCACTATGCCGTAGTTACAGTACGTGTGTAAACCCGTCCCTTCTTATACGACCGCTGAACTCCTAAAGTACCAAGTTACAATGATTTACGACAGAACCCCGGGACGGAGTGTAACAAGGCGATCTACATCAACTCTCCCGGTAGTTAGTAAGACATCCGAACAGTTAGCGTCTATTATTCGACCGCCACAACTACGGGACCTGCCAGAAGGACCAAACCCATCCAACCTCCGCTAAACAACAGTCAATTACCCTTATTTTGTATATAACACGTGTAGATACCCGAGAGAATACCTGTATTATGACACCGTCGGTAAAATTTTGAGATCCGAATTTCGATGAAAATGGATTCACTTCGCTAGACTTCGTGAAAAGAAATAGGGACGCATCGTGAAGGACGTTTTAGTTTTTAATCGTAAAAAAACCTTCTTGCCCTCCACCTAAACGAAAAGCCGTTAGCGAGTCATGTCCGTTTTGAGACTCAAGGACGGTTCACACTCAATGCTGTTTACATAGAGATATAGTCCGAAATGTCGTGACCTTCGACACATTGTGTGAAGTACACGACGATGAAATAACTCTCTTTCAGCAATGGGTATGGACGAAAATCTCAAACTCGCGCACCGAAAACAGCGATTGGTGCACTACGGCATATTTTACAGATAAAGTGTAGAATACTCGAGTAAGACGCGATGCGTATCTCCTATAGTTAAGTGACTACTTCGTAAACGTCCTTCGCACCCGACATGTTCACTCCTTCAGTCAATAAGTGGATCATTTCGTATGTGTTTTCCTTATGAATCCATCTCGTCTCTTCCTGAATAAGGAGACGTGCACTGAAGGACTACACTCTCTAGAGACGGTTACTAAGACGACGTACAACACGTTGACACCAAAGACGTCGTCACAGTGTTTTACGTACACTCCCACTTAAACTTTGCGGTTTCAGTACTGAGATTATACATGAAAAGATTCCTCGGACAATTTATGTCTCTACAAGGATGTAGCTCGATCGTGGATTATAGACGTGCCATAGTCCACGATGTTTTACAACCTAGCAACTATCTGACTACGCGAAGTATTCAGTCGTACATGCAACCGGACTCCCGCTCGGGACAGACATTATGCTTGTTCTTCGACTGTCGACCGTTCCACCTACCGTGAGAACGTCGGACAGAGGCGCTTTCGGGTCCGGTGTTCCGGTCTCTACCACTAAATATATTCGGGTAGTCACAAGTTCTAGGGTGAAAACGATTTCGGACTAACTTATTAAAAAACATGCTGTCCTTTAGTTTCATGAACCAGGTCTGACTGAGAACTGACCGTTTTAGGTGGGAGCGTACGAAGGTTTGGCGTTTTAAGGTGTGGTAGTTAACCACTTAAAGCGTCCTTCATTTGCGCGGTCCCTTTATTTTGTTCATAAGTCTAGGAAATGAATCCATTTTGATGAATTTGATGTCAAACCTTTACGAAGTGTCATAATAACGAGAATATTCTCTCTGGGTATTCTAACACTTTTATATGTAAAATAATGTAATTTCACTTGCTGTTTTTGGGGGAGTAGTGGATTTCCGTCCACTACCACTAAATATTTTCGGTAGTCACCAAAGTTCTAAGGTTCAAACATTTTCGGACTAAAACTTATTAAACACCATGAGGTCTGTCCTTGAGTTTCAAAGAGACAGAACTGACTGGAACTTCGCGTTTGGTGGAGCGCAAGAAGGTTTGTAGATAAACAAAACTACACGTCCTTTCACGATGCGTCCGCTATTTCTTGGTCACAAAGTCCTAGGAAGTGAATCCATTTTCTAAACATGAAATTGATCTCAAAATTTTACGAGGTGTCAATAATTACCGAGGTATTCTCTCGGCTTATCTACACTTTATATACAAAATAGGTAATTTGACTGTTGTTTAGGGGAGTTGGATGGTTGGTCCTTTCTGCAGGTCCGTAGTTGTGGCGTCGGAATAATAGACGCTACTGTTGCGGATTCTTACTTAACTACCGGAGAGTTGATGTTAGATGCGCCTGTTACCACTCGTCCCGTTCTGGTCGTAATCAATCATGTAACTGGTACTTTAGGAGTTCAAGCGGTCGTATAATGAGAAGGACGTTTACCACGTAACTTGTAACTTACGTGTTCATATGATGTACGTCATGCCGCCCCCTATTCCGGTCCTCCACCGGCGACAGAGTGGAACATAGGACCCGGTTCAAACTACTTACCGTTTCTAGACTCGACCCAACTCTCGAAGTGACTTATGCCATTTACCGAGGGTCGACTGGTGTTTTGTGGGACAATCCACAGGCGACAGAGACTTCCTCGGTCCCTTTGTGAACAGCATTGGAACGTTTTTTTTTTTTTTCTTCTCTTTTGTGTTCTTTTTTTGTAATACGATACCTGTAGTTCGGTAAAGCTTTGAGACTCTCCATAGAACCATTTCTCTCAAACCTAGAGTAGTAATAATATGTAAACCCACAACAGTAAAAACGTTTCTAAAACAATTTCAGAAATATGTCAGATACAAGTCCAATTTGATTAATAACGGAGAAACCTGAGACGTTTGATGTCGACCGTGTGTATTTAAGAGGGAACCATCTTAAACACACCAAAGATCCTGAGTATTGTTGACACTCTTCTGGTAACTAGAAGTGTTAGATTCTGCTGCTGAGTTCTCAATTAGTTAATAAAGTAAAACTGAGACACCAGTATTCGGTCGGACACCATAAGCACGTCTCTACTTTTGTACTACGCTTTTTCGTCTAAGTGGAAAAACTACCGACGCAACCAAAAGATCGACGAGGAGAAAGCTTTGGGACTACCCTGTTAGCGTCCGCTGTCTCTGAAGAGCCCAGGAAACACTTGTCGTAACTCTGCAAAAAAAAAAAAAGAGAAACACAAGAAAACATTAACTATGACATCAAGCATTTCGAACTCTGAGAGGTATCTTGTAAAGAGGGTTTGGATCTCATCATTTATACATTTGTGTTGTAATTTTGCAAGATTTGTTAAATCTTATACAGTCTATGTTCAGTTAAACTAATTATTGCTCTTGGACTTGCAAACTACAGGCATGCCACACATAAATTCTCCCTTGTAGATTGTGTGTTTTAGGACTCATAACACTGTTGAGAAGAAGCATTGATCTTCACAATCTCTAAGACGACTCAAGAGTTAATCAATTATTCATTTTGACTCTGTGGTCATAAGCCTGTGGTATTCTGCAGAGATGAATAACATGGATGGCGAAAAAGAAGATTCACTTTTGATGGCTGCTTGTTTTCTAGCTGCTCCTCTTTGGAAACCCTGATAGCATCGAGACACTTGTTCTTTAACTTGTGTACTGTGGATGTATTTGTCTTATGATTCTTGCTGTGAGCTGCGTGAACAGAAACACTCTATAGCTCAAGGTCAGGCAATTTCTTACAGACAATAACACCGGACCTTGCTAATTGCAGCAATGTCAAGAGCCAACCGTGAAAGAGGTGTAATAAAGGCTCTGCTGCCACTGAGAGGTCGGGTATCTGTCCCCTGCGGAATGGAAAAGTTTGGAGTTTGGGGCGAGGTGTGCTGGAACGCAGCCCAAGGGCACCTCTGCACCAGCTGACGCCTGCAGAGGGCAAAACTCAAATGTTTGCCAATATCACATTAGGAGGTGAGCGAGGAGCCAGAGTAATACCAGATTTAAGAGGCCATTCCAGATTTCTTATTTGAGGTAAAACTTCTGTTAGCAACATCTGATTTACAGAAAATATGTTTTATCAAAGCTCAATCACATTTTTTATTT